GATTTTTTTTTTTGTAAATTTCAAAATTATTAATTTTTCTGTAAATGCATTTTTGCACACCATCTACTCAAGCAAAATGTTTTTTGAATTAATCCAATCGGATAATCCGTTCTCTCAAAAACTGCTTAACCGTTTTTACCCCCTCTGCGCTCCATACATCTGAAACGGCAAAATTGTCTTTTGCAAAAACGCCTCGCGATCGAGTACGAACCGAATGATTTTTTAATTATACAAATCGGTTATTCCATACTGTCGAAAATGTCGAGGACATTTGTTTGAATCATATAAATAAACTTCAAAATTAAATACTTGGTACGGAACCCAAAAAGAAAATACACAAAATGTGCACACAATATTAAAATCTCTATAAAATATCTGATAATTTGATGTACATATGCCCAATAAACATTTTTGACCGCCAAATGACATTTTTTTAACTTCTTTTTATTGAGAGTTCATAACCTGCAGTTCTAGACCTGCCTTTCCAAAAATTTTACCGGTTGTTCATTTCGTCAATAGAAGTATAATGTTTTATGAATTATTGAAATCGGACGTTCCATTCTCTTAAAAACTGAGGCACTTTTTGCCTCGTATCTTTGGAATGGCTAGACCTGCCTTAGCCAAAAACTAATCAGCACGTCTCCTTATCAATACGAATCGAATGTTTTTTAAATTATTCAAATCGGTTGATCGGTGTTCTCGAAATCGTCGACGAAAATTTGTATTCGCACACACACACACGCACACACACACACATCCATTTTTTCTAAGGTATGCCAAAATATTAAAAAAACCTTTGAAACGTAAAGATATATAAAAATTTTCATTTTCAATTTTTTGCGATTACTATAATTTGCCCTACGGGAAGTTAATAATATTTATATTTTTAGAAAAAAAAATGTTTTTAAAAAACTACCAAAAATCAGCTAAAACAGACATTTTAGAATAAAAATACTATTTTGATAAAATTATCGAATTACATTGAATGGCTTTTGAATTTCTGAAATTGATTCAGCCTTTTATGAGAAAACGACGAAGAAAGGTCAAAGATCGGCTAACAAACACACATACACATACTTTTTCTAAATTTAGTCTCATTCAAAATTAACTCTTTGCTAATTTATCATTGTGGAAATGTGTTTTATATTGTTTTTCAAACATTTGTAACCTGGTCCTTTTTACCCCATAGGCTAGGTAAATTGAGACGGCCAGAAGAAAAACATGTCCAATGTCTTATTTTAATTTTAAAAGGATTTTACAAAATGAAAGCTTCAATGCAAAATATTTTTTTTTTGCAGAAATAACACTGTAATTAACCTTGATCTGGTATTTCGTCAAAAATATTCATCAGCAGAGTTGGAATAGTTATTTACTTGATTTATCTTTTGTATAATAGAACAAATAAATAACATATACTTAAAAATTATATTAAGATCTCATAAAGTAAGCAACAGTGCCACGACTTCAAAAACTTACAACAAGAGGAAAAGCTTATGTTATGGATTTTCAAATATTCTTCTCTCCACTTTTAAATATTGTTGTTAAAAAATTCCTAACTTTACTGATTTTTTATCAAAACTATTTGTAATATTTATAAAAAATAAAAACTAAAAATTCTTCTCGTGAATAAAGTCCTTGTATGCCGGACAATGGAAAGTACGGCGATGAAAGTATATTGCGCAGTCTGGACTATTAGACATCGATCATTGGATTACCGGCCGCGCTGGTGGCACTAACGATAAGCGTCGTACTAATTGCACTACATATTCATCATTCCTTTTTTAATTCTATTATAGCTTTTATTCAGCAACACCAAGGGAACATCATAAGGAATATATTTTACAACTTTATTCCACTATTTAGGCAACAAAACGAAATCCTTGCACACTTAAACTATCTTAAATGTATATAGTTTCCATCGTCGATTTAGTTCAACAGAATTTCTCAATAAATATTGCAAAAATTCATATCTAGAGTACTTTAAGGATACTTATTATACAGGGTAAGGTGCGGCACAACGATCCAATTTGACTTTTAGTAATTATTCTGTCTAATCTAAATGAACTATATGATAACATTTAACATGTATCCAACAATTAAATACCGTTCAATAAATTTCCAATTAGCTTCCGATTATAGAAATATGCTTTTGTACAATTTTTCTAATTTTTTTTATCTGTCCCTTTTTCCCATAGGCGGACTGTCAAACAGATGCAAAGTATTTTTTAATGGTAAAAGAATTTTACGAAATAATAGCTAGATTATTTAACCAATCTAAAATGCGAACTTTATGGAAACATTTTTGCAAAGATTGCATTGTATATACCCTGATCGTATTTGTATTGCATTTTGAATTGCAACGTATTTGTACTGTACT